GGAAGGACGCTGCTACTCCAGACTCCAGCACAAAGGTAAGTACATACGTTTGTTTTTACAGTACTTAAGTTTCAATTCAGGACTTTGTGCTTGCTAAGCAGGCACTTTACCACTTAAACCACATGTCCAATACCAATCGTCTAGTTTTCATTTTAATTATTTTTCAGATCTCACATTGTTGTCTGGGGATGGCCTCAGATCACAATCCTACTATGTATGGTTCCCCAAGTTGCTGAGATCACAAGTGTACAACAACAAGCCTGGACTCATTTGTTGAGATGAGGGTCTTATTAACTAGATGCCCAAACTGAAACTGTAATCCTCCTATATCAATATCAGAGTAGCTGAGATTCCAGCAGTAGCCACTGATCCAGGCTTGCTAAGCTCCTCACAAACAATATCTAAAGTTCAATGTGCATGACTACGGTAATAGTAGATGACCTTTTCTCACCCATAATTTGTATAAATCATGATGAACTCCTAAGTGAACACTAAACTTCTCACACCATCTACTCTGGAAGTCAAAGGTCTTCCCTCCTCTCCTGCTTGTTTTACTTCAAATACCAAAATCTCCCCAATGCCACTCTTCTGTGGTCCTTTGGGGCCTGGGCCACTTCAAGGTGAATGCGTATCCACTTGTAAACTCCATCTCAAATCACGCTGACTTCTCACCTTGTCTTCATCTTCTTCTTTGCCAGAACTTCAACCTGGAATGAACGTTATGTCTTCCTCATCCTCCCTGTTCTGTTCGTTTCCAGTTTTGCTGCTTAAATCTAAGGCCATGCTCTAAACTTTCTTCCTTATTCTCCCTGTGGCTAGTGAGGAAAGCAGATGGTAATTGGACTGTGTGAAATATTTAAGAGCAACAAACACAAAGACTTAACTGAATGGAAGGTCACATGGGATACAGAGGAGCTAACAATGTCATAGAAATGAGTGGCTGTAAAAGCAAACTAGAAGCAACACATAGGCAAAGTGCCTCATTCATTCATTCATTTATTGGTACTGAGATTGGAACTTGCAGTGCTGAGTTCTGAACTTAGCAAAGTGTGAAGCCTGCTGAGCCATGCATCCAGCTTATCACAGGCTTTTGGATGGTAAATAACAAGTTGGATATGTTTTCAACACAGCTAACCATAAGAAAATCTTCTCAGCACCTCAGTCTATATAAACATTTAAATATCGCCTATTTAAATACTGCCTTGCTTTCACGGATTTACTTCTTAATTAATGGTACTGCAATGAAAAGCAGGTCGGGACTTCTCAACTTTTCCTCTTCAGCCCAGTTTGGCTTTCACAGTTTTCATTCCTTTATCTCTCAGTGATGTTCTGGGTCAATTTCTTACTCACAGTCTCCAAAATTCCAATTCTCTCTTTGGCTAAATCCACTTCATGATGAAGTGCCTCATTGATTTTCAATAATTGTTATTGTGTTAAATTGTTACATATTTTTAAATGGTTAGGTATTGTTAAATAATTATTTTTCTGCAGAGGTTTTCACTTTTGAGATTTCTAATTAGTTCTTTCCAGGTGCACGTGTTCTCCATTTACACCGGAATGCTTTGTGTTCATCTTTCCCGCTTATATGGGTATCGTTCCCTGTCCTTCAAAGTTCTCTCCTCGAGGAAACTTAGCACTTGATTTTGTAAGTTCTTTCTGTGTCCCTCCACCCTGGCCAATTAGGGCATCACCAGATATAATAAAGGAAGACCTCAGTGGTGGAATCACATTACACCTGACTGCATAGAGAAGCAGAGGGGCAGAGAAAATCTAGGAAGATGTCGCCCAAGGTCACGTGGAGGTGGAAACTAACCTCCATAGCTGTGGGATGGACCTCTGGGCTCCTAAATTTAGAAGGTGAGTAGGCACAGAGTAGAATCTTACTGAAGAGGCACAGGGAAGCCTGGATGTCTGCTGCTTTCAATTATCCAACCTCAAGTACCTTGTTATAATGACCCGAAGAATAAACATGAAGATTCATCATCATCGCTATAGCCCATACTATGCTGTTGAGTCCCAAGCACCTTTTAATGTGGTTCACCTCCCTGCACAGAGTTCTGGGCCCTGGACTGAGAAATGCAAAGATGCATGAGGCTTATCCACCTTCTGTGTATCCAGAGAAGCACCCATCTTATTAGCCTCACGTGGCCTCTTGAGGTGGAAAGCCAACATCAGCCAGAGCAGAGGCCACAAAGGAGCTAGCTAATATGGCTGACACAGCTCCTTGCACAAAGTCTATTGGCTAAAAGCTCCGGGGGGACTTTTACCCCTGACAGCAAACACACAACTGTCACCTCCAAACTTACAAAGATGGGAAGTTACATGTGAGTCCACTGTGGGCTGATCAGAAGTCTCCTTGGAACACAACAGGTTGAGGGAGCTGATAATCATCAAGGAAGAAACTTCTCCCACTAACTCATTAACACCAAGGAGAGACCCTCCGTGTTCTGTAAACAATTAAATGTCTACAACCATTTCTCAAGCTATCAGAACCCCTGCATCACATCCTTCTGGTGCTTATCACAGATGGCATTAAGCCATCCCCCACTACCCAACCCCAGGCTGCCAGAGGGAAGACCCCTGCAGAAGGAAGACTGGACACTCGATGTAGACCCCTGGTGATTCTTGTACACACTCAACATGTAATCTGGAATCAATGGAGGGACATAGATGATCCCACAGAACACAGCACAGCAGTGTCGAATTTACCCTCTAAAAATGGCTCTTCATGAAACAGCATCTATCTACCCAGGTTAAAAAGAAGCAAAACAGTGGGAGGGAGAGAGATAATTTTCCTGCTCCTGACCAAACAGTAGCAGACTACCCGAGGAACAACCATTGGTTCAACATTTGGGTGTACGTGGAGGACGTGGATTGTGCTTCCAGTTGCTGTGCCCAGGTCTCCCTCCAGTATGAAATAGCACCTGCCTCCCACACTGCCATACTTGAGCCATTGCAGGGCACTGGGAGTCTGAGCTCCTCAATCTCAATGAGGGTGCTTCCTGTGGCCTGCAATTTAGCCAACTGCTTCTAACTTGAGTCTAAAGACAGTTCCTGGGGTTATGGCCTAGACTGTCACTCCAGAACTAATTCTGCCTTTTCTAAAATTCAATATTCTCATCTGTGAAGCTAGAATAATCACCAAGAAGGAGAGGAGGGAGCATCACAGACCTCCTGATAGGATGCACTGCGAAGGACAAGACATCGATCACCTCTCTGGTATTTCTGCCCAAAATGCAAAGCCCAAAACTAATGGGCGGAATATAGTTGTCATATATTCCACAAAGATGTCACTAACGGTAAAGGAAGACTAAGGGGTTGTTCCCAATGACTGGAGACTAGAAAGTCATGCCAATAAACATAACATATAACCCTGGATGGAATAATAGACTGTAGGAAAATTTAGAAGAAAAAGAAAAAACTCACTTGAGAAAATCAATTAAAGTGATGTTGGCCAGGTACTGGTAGCACACCTGTAATCCTTGCTACTCAAGAGGCTAAGATCTGAGGATCATCGTTCAAAGCCAGTCAGGGCAAGAAAGCGTGACACTCTTATTTCCAATTAACCACCAGAAAACCAGAAGTGGTACTGTGGCTCAAACTGGTACAGTGCTAGCCTTGAGAAAAAGAGCACAGGGAAAGCACCCAGCAAAAGAGCACAGGGAAAGCACCAACAAAAAAACCAAAATTTAATAAAAATTTTTAAAAAATAAAGTGATGTCGGTGTGCTGATGACATCTCTTTGCCAACAACATGCCGCCCCCTTCCCTCTCCCCCGCTCCCCCGAGATATACCTTTCCTTACATTCAGGGGTAAGCTCCAGAAATTGCCCTGTATCTTTTAGTGCTTCCTTTGAATTCTTACCCTGCTATATGATTTCTGCATTCAACCAGATAATATACCCAGGAAGAAAATATCATGGAATTTTGAAGCAGCATTGGGACCATAAAGAATAGAGTTACCATGGTATTCAAATTGGGAAAATGAAGAAAACCATCCAGAATCTTACATTAGAGGCTTTCTGAAACCTGTGAGTGGACATTAAATCTCAACCTCTCTTTCTTTCCCTCATTCCCCACAGCATACCCCAGGGAAGGCAAAGCTAAGCTTCTGAGCCATCTGTCACCCACAGTCACTGAGAACCAGATCACATGACCATCTCGCACCACTCAAGCCAAAGGATCTCTCATAGCTCAACCCTCTCTCACAAACCTTTAGGATGTTTTTCATTCAGTAAACATTTCCTGAATGTCCCATGCACATAGAACAACCCGCTAGACAAACACATAGTAAATTTTACACTAGCAATAAAATTACAATTGGCTAGGATCCAAGACTGGAGTCCCTCAATGTTAATCTCATCGTAAAGCTGTTAATATAAACAAGTAGCGATGTGCTCATTTGGCTGCTTCTCCAACAAGTGAAGAATGATTAAATTGGACTAGTGCTTCATGCTTGTAAATTCTAGCTACTCAAGAGGCTGAGATCTGAGGATTATGGTTCAAAGCCAGCCCAGACAGGAAAGTTTGGGAGACTCTTATTTCCAATTAACCTGCAAAAAGCCAGAAGTATGACTTCAGTGGTAGAGTGGCAGCCTTGAGGAAGGCAAAGGGACCAAGTAAAAGTGCAAGGCCCTGATTCAAGCCATACTACTGGCACAAAAAATAATTAGTTTAAAGAGTCAGGCAATGAACATTTACATTGTGGCTATTAAAAGCAATATATATATATATATTCCCCAGTCATTGCAAGGCAGGGTTCACATCCACCATTCCGCATTCCACTGATCATGGCTACAGACACAGCCCTGAGCAGAGCCACCACCCAGCAGAAGTGCGAAGAATGGACAAACCCATCCACTGCTCTCTGCAAACGCCAGAGAAGGGACTACATGCTGTAGCTGCTATCTTATAGTGCTGTCAACACAGCCAGAGTCAGAAAGGGGAAACATTCCCACACAGGAAGGAAGCACACGCCCCAACTGTGTCTGGGTCACTAACCTGATCGATTTCCATGAGTTTGGGGTAGGCGCCGGGCCATTCTATGGCCACCTTGACGATGTCTGCCGGTGGCGGCATGGTCAGACCCCAAAATATCCACAGCCCGCGGCACTGGGGATCCTCCGGCCAGGGCCCCACGTGTCCACACCTAATGAGGACGACAAAGAGAAAGAGAAGTTGCTGGGCGTAAAGGCAGGGCGGGTTCTGCTTCGTCACTTCCTGTTTTCACCCCTGGTTTAGGCATAAGAAACTGCTGCTCTTATTGCCCACAGGGACACAACCCATAGCAGCACAGGCTCTCCAAGATGGGACAAGGAAGGGAGTGAGGGTGAATGCCTTGAGTCCAGGTCTCCAGGACATGCTGCCCTGAGGATGCGGCTTGTGCATAGAAAGTGACCTCTTAGCAGTGGGGCCCAGACTCTGAGTCCCACAGCCTGCTCTGTCTGTCCAGTCATACATATGAATACCCACCCCACACTTTCCAGAGGGATGGACAGCCCAGGAAATCATGGCCAGGAAGCCATTGTTATTTAAAGCAATTTTCTGTGCATCACAAATAGATCTCTAAACTACAGCAACCAGGATGTCAGGAGGAAGGAAAAATACCCAGGAGTTTACACACACACACACACACACACACACACACACACACACACACACACACACACACACACACACACACACACACACACACACACACACACACACACACACACACACACACACACACACACACACACACACACGCTCCAAAGGCCAGTCACACAAATGGCATCTTCCAAGGAGGGGAAAATGCACTCAAGTGGCTGGAACAGAATTCCGCAGAGACCTTGGATTTGCACAGGCTAGTGTTGCTTGCACAAAGAAGCTGGCCTCATCCTCCATTGCCTGCCAACTTCTTTAGCTTTAATTGATGAAAGTCATGTGACTGTGTGTATAGATGCACAGCACAGTGTCTTTTCCCTCAGTGTGACACTCCTAGCCACCAGCTACTTCATGCCCCTGCCTTCCACTCTCCTGCTAGTCAAAGCTGCTCATTCTTTATGCAGCCTTCTAGAAAGGTCTTGGGAGAGACAACAAAACATTATTACATTTCCCCTGCCTTTACTCTCTACTTTGTATTTTCACTACAGATTCTGAATCTTTGTGCACTACTTCAGAAGGAGAATCTTGGCATCCTTGATTGCCATACAGCAACTCTAGCATGGAGACAGCTCACATGAATCTCAGCACTGCTGGGGTGGTTCTGGGGTTCTCTTTTCTTCTCTCCTATCAACATTTTAAACAAGATGGTAGTGCACAAACTCATGTATATGTAACTTGGCACATGTAAAAATGTGTCCGTGTAATCTAGTCCCAGAAGTAAAACCACTGAGTGGAAAAAATATGTACAGTTTTAACTACTATTATTATTATGTTTTTAAATTGCACTCAGGGACTGCAATCGCTAGCAATCCACTCCACCACACTGAGCCATGCCTCCAGTCCTTCCTTACCTTTTGTTTCTGCACTTGTTATTTTGAGATTGTGTTTCACCTTTTGCTGGATCCTGTGCCTGGACAGCAATCCTCCTATTTTAGGCTTCCCATTGTAGTTTGGATGAGGAGCGCATACCACCACACCCAACCCTTCTTCCCTTGAGATGGGGTCTTGTGAATATTTTTGTTTTCCTAGGCTGCCCTGGATCTGATTCTCCTAATCAGAAATCTGATTCTCCTAATCCAGCATAGCTAGGATTACAGGCATGAGCTATCACGTGTAACCATTTTTAACTTCTGATCATCATTTCCCAATGTCCCTGTAAGGATGTTTCTAGCAATTTATACTCCCTCCAACAATGAATAGAGTAGCTTACATGCATGCATTCAACCTCACCAACAGATGGAGGGAGACCACTGTCAGGCTGAAGATCATGGATCTCTTGTTCTTTCAACTCATGTTTGCCTTATTGTGTGTGAGACTGGACAGATGGAAGAAAAGCGTTAAGTATGCTTCCCTGTGAACTGTCCAAATCTTTGGCCTTTTCTATGGGGGTCTTAAGGCTACTTTTTGGAAATTGATTGCTATATGAAGATTTTAACCAAACCTGTACACAAGGCTCTCTATAAGACCACGGTAAGCCTCAACAGTTTCTGTCCCAGATCTGCAGAGCAGCTGGATATCACTGAGATGACAGCGGGCACAGCAGCTGGGTGACATCTACACAGACATAAATGACCAACCTAAGCTGAGCAGACAAGGAAAGGAAATGAGCCAAAACAAAGCTACATTGCCCCATCCCAGGATGGCCAGTGAAGCCTGCTGTGAGCTAATCCATGATCACCAGAAAGGGCAGGTCCATCGAACAGCAGCCATCCCTCATCCCACAAATAATTACTGGGTGCCAGGCCTGGTCTATGTGTGGACAGCAGAACAGGAGACCAAGGCATTTCATGGCAAGAAGGGGCATGGAGAAGAACATAGCATGGAAGGAGGCTGCAGCCCAGCCCTGTCTCAGTGGCTGGGATGGCAGAGAAGATGTGGGGAGGCCGTGGACAAGAGGAATGCAGTTGTGAACAGAAAACTCAGGGAGTTTCACAGAGAAGGTAGCATTTGAGTAAAAACCTAGGTGAAGCAAAGAAGTAGGCCCTGTGGAGATCTGGACAAATCATGTCTCTAGACAAGGGAAGAACATGTGCCAAGGCCCTCAGGCAGGGACACATCTGGCACGTCCCTGAAATAGGTGCGTGCAGAGGCCAGGCAAGGCAGGTCAAGAATAATACAATGATACATTAAGAGAGTGGCTGGTTCACCAACTCCTGAACCTCTAGACACTACTATACGCTCCAGTGGCTCTTAGTGACGTCTGCAAAAGGAAGTTCATGTCTGCACACATTTCCAGAGGGCCTTTGGCAAACTGTACCAAAAGCCTTCCAGGTTTGCATTCTGTTTAGTAACTTTCATTTTCTAGGATGGTATTCTCAAGAAATGATTAGCCCTACAAACACTAACTGCTGTTTTGTTCATAATCCCCCAAACTTGACTACCCAGCAAGTAGGAACTGTTTTGTCTCCCCTGCGGTATACAAGCAAAAGACCAGGCTTCTGCTGCAGAGGCAGCATCCTGCTAAAATACCTGAGCACTTTCAGAAAAAAAAAAAACAGATTCTAGCCAGACTACTGATTCCAATTCAATGACACCCCTAGACCAAAAACTGGGCTGTAATTGGATGTGAACTGTTTGAAGGCCGTGCAAAGTGATCCTGAGAGTGGTCAAAAGGACCAATAACAGAAATCAAAATGTACTTTGAGCATCTTCCCCCCAAATGGACAGACAACATTAAAATTACAACAAAATAGGTCATCTAACTTTCCTGGAATCAAAGCCCACAATTGTTCATTTACTCTCTTAGCTGGTTTCATTTCACCTAGATAGGTAAGGAAACCTGCTGAACCGGTGTGGTGCTGAAGACTGGGTGCTTTCCTGGGTCTCCCAAGGAGTGGAAGAGGCCAGGAATGCACAAAGCCACCATTGAGAGAATCAGGAAGTGAAGCCCCCCTCCTTGGGATTTCCTTAGCCACACCTCCTTACAGCAGAACACAGAGCTCTGCCACAAGAACAATCGCAGAGGCTGAGCTGGCACTGCCAGGAGTAAGGCATAGGCACAAGTAGCACATAGGAAGTTCCAGTCCACTCTTTGTTCAGTCCTTTACCTAAGTCCCTGAAGCTACACATGACTTTTGGCACAATGTAAAGCTGGGGATGTAATTCTGGGTGTGAGTGTGTATGTGTGTGCATGCGCATGCACATGTGTGTACCTGGGCATTGCACTATGAGTGCTGACAATATTATGACCCATGCATGCCAGGATGAACAGGCATCAGCCACCCATTTTGACTGCTCCTCAACGGCCTCAAAAGACGCCATCTTTCCCGATATAAGGCTGGGAGACAGGAAACCCTCCAACCGGGATGGGTCCTCTATCAAAGGCCCCTGAGAAATCATTTGGTACACAATATACAAATACAAAAATGTCTTCCATGCTGCTCAGACTGCCCCTGGGCCCTCTGCTTATGGTCAGCATTTTGTGTGTCCCCTGAATCATGTTTTAAATATACAAATGGCCCCTGGCAGCAAAGGTCCCCACACCCCCAGCTAGACAGATCACAAGGGTCAGGGCCATCCTCCTTAGAGTTGCCACCAGGTCAATGGTCTCAACAGGCTCAGGAAAAAATACCAGCATTGGCTTAGTTCTTAGTCAGTGTTGTAAGAGATGGACATGTCCTTTGAAATCTGCAGCCAGAATGCCTGTCTCCAGATATCCTTGGCTTCTCCCTGCCAAGCAATGGCAGGTAGCACTTGACTCTTGTAATTTAATGTTCCTGGATCCCTCTAAAGAAACTTCCAGAACCTTTTCACTGTATATCCAGAGCCAGGCAGGCATCTGCTTCATGATTGAATCTCATGAGCATCACCAGCACAGGGGAAACTGAGTCCAATGCAGCATCTCTCAATGAGACACCCTGGATGATGTCAGCTGCCCACTGGACGTAAGCTACAGGAAGCCATGTGGACAACACAGCATCACAGTTCTTATACAGATGGAAGAACAAGCATTACTAAAAACAAGGGGAAAATATTTGCAATAACTACTACATGTGTAGGACAAGCAGAAAAGGCCAAAAGCCATGTACATAGGACCATATAAGATGATGTTAGCGAAATGAACCCCAAATAGGGACACAAATATCTTTTTTCTTTCTTGCTATTGTTTCTAATATATTTATAATGTACCATGTGATTTGTTTCCTTGTATGTTCCTCCCCCATGGTATAACCCCTGTTTTCATGTTATTTGATGTCAGTGCCCTGCATCTTGTATATACACTTCTCTAATTTGGGGAGGGGAAGGGAAAAAAACAAAATGCTTAAATAAGAATACAGCTTGACCCACTGCAACAAGGAAATGTACAGGACATTATCTTGAAAATGAACTTTACAACTTTGGTGGGGAGGGGGGGTAGTTGTAGAGGTGGGAGGGAGGGGATGGTAGGGGGAAAACAAAGGAGGAGGCAACAATGCTCAATAGGAAATGTACTCGATACCTTGCTCATGTAACTGTAACCCCTCTGAACAGCATTTTTCAATAAAATATGTCAAAAAAAAAGAA